CGTCTAACGCCGTTAGAAAAATTAACTCCGATTTTAAAAAAGTCTCCGAAAAATTAAAAGAAAAACACTGGGAGGTGCGCCTCGTCAAGGAGATCAACAAACTATCTTTCTCTTTGGATTTTTCGGCTCTATTTGGATTATTTTTTAAAAACAAATTCACTAATATCAATTTTCTGGTGGACTTTCTGGAGATATGGTGGCTGGAAACAAAAAAATAAAGATAGTTTGTTTATCTCCTTGACGAGGCGCACCTCCCAGTATTTTTCTTTTCATTATTCGGAGACTTTTTAAATTCGGGGTTAATTTTTCTAACGGCGTTAGACGCCATGCCCCTGCTATGATAACGGAATTGAAACACATGTCCCACTTTGTTAGAGAATGAAACGCATGCCCCTATCTGAAAATGGACCAAATCACAGGTACGTTTTGTGTACTTTTCCCTTTTGACTTTGATTGAACATGTAAAACTTTGTAGTTTTGAATTTAATTTGATTGCACATCCGAAACTTTGTAAAAATTGAGAAGTGCTTTTTTAAGTGGCAGTGTTTGGTAAATAAGTGCTTTTTTAAGCCAAAAGCTGAGAAGTGCTTTTTTTAAGTAGTTGCAAACACTCCCTTACACGGAGTATATGGCTGCGTTAGGTTAAGATAGTTGGGTAGGTTTTACTACCTCCGTCCCCCTAAATTTGGGACAAGAGAATGTGACACGGTTATTAATAAAAGTAGGTTTATGTGGTTGATATTGAATTGACAAAAGTAAGAATAAAGTAATTACTTTATTCTAACTTATAAGAATGATTTAGAATCACACAAACTTTACCAAATAAGATATGGGTCAATCTTAGTGGGACGGGTCGAAATAGGAAAATGGGGCAATCATAGCGGGACAAAAGGAGTAATATTTTATGTTGGGTTGGGTTATATGGGCCGGCTGGGATATGTATATGTGCACTTTTAAAAGGCTAATAGGATTATGGTGCTTATTACTTCGGATATAATTTTTTTGATGGTGTCATTATTATACTGGGTAATTATTACTCGATAATACATTACTACTTATTTCTTATTATTAGAATTATTATATTGTTATAATTACCAAATTATTTGTTATCATATACTGTCTCAGTGCAGATAAAGGTTCACGTCTACTACTTCGATTAACGTAAATTCTTCTAAATCTTTTGATTTATATATTAATTTATTTTCAAATTTATTCTTTTGCGGCTTTTTAATATACTTTGGTGTAATTTTTGATATCACCATACTATCATTGTTGTTAACAAGGAAGTGTTTCAAAATGTATGCCCCGTCGTAAACTTTTTTGTAGGGCTGGACATATCGGTTTTCGGTTCGGTTTTTATCGGATTCGGTTCGGTTCAGTTTGGAAAGGGTTGGGAGAATTATTACTAAACAAATACCATACTATTTTTCGGTTGGGTTCGGTTTGGATTAGTTCAGTTTGGGTTTGTTATTTTTTAATTAAATATAAAGAATTTCTTGAATTTCCTTAGTTTGATTCGGTTTTGTTCGGTTTTTATCGGTTTTGGGTCGGTTTGGTTTAGTACGGTTTTGAATAAATACTACCAAACTCAAACCAAATTGTATACAGTCCGGTTTTGGTTCGGTTTTATCCGGTTTGGTACGGTTCGGTTAAACCAAACCATTATGCTCACCCCTGCTCTTTTGTAATACTACCAATCTTCCTTCTTATTCCAAAACACACTTTGTATGAATTATGAGCCGTAATTATTCGATCTTTTCTATTTGCATTCATTTTCACATAAACAAATCATGTCAACAAATAAGATCCTATAACAACTACTTAATCTATGTCCCGTGTATCGCACGGGTGAAAATCTAGTAAGTTTAAAAAATATGGCCAAAAGTTGTGATGTTTGATTTACAATACACTAGCTAAACTAGCTAATACTGTCTGTCAAAAAAAAAGCTAATACTGTATAAGCTACGAAAACTAAATGAGTACGTAGTACTCTCTCCGTTCCCAATAATTGTCCCATTTTTTCATTTTTGGATGCTCCATTATTATTGTCTCATACCGTATTTGAAAGAATAAATTCCACTTTTGGTTCTATGAGTTTTAGTTCAATTCCACATTTAGTTCACATCTTTCACTTTGTCCACTTCTGATACATGACTATTGTGTTTTCACCCATATATGGTCCTTCCGGCATTGTTTCCGATGGTTGAAATCCCCGGAAAAGGATACTAACGGTTAAAAAACATTAGTCAAGTACCAAAAGTGGACATAGTGAAAGACGTGGACTAAAAGAAGAATTGATATAAAACTCGTAGGACCAGAAGTGGAATTAATTCTTGCTTTTTGATTAGTAGTAGGGTAGGTATTTTTGCTTTTTGATTGGTTACTCTGTCGAAAGGTTGTTTTTGTCTTGGTTGGCATGCCATGCACCTCTTCCGTCCCAATAATAGGGGGCGGAGAGATTATATGGCAAAGCAAGCTAGGTGCGGGCAATAATTTGAGTGAATGGGATGTGCAGGAAAAAAGATGGCGGCATGTAGTAGAGTCAGTCAGGTTAATGACACTGTTGGTTCTCAAACTTGGTTAACAAAAGGAGTTTAGTTACAAGATGGCGCAGCCTGTGGGCCCCTGGACCAGGAAGAAGTTTGGTGGGGTCGCCAACCTTGGAACAAGGAGGGTCCCCAGCACACCAACCTCCGGGGGTGTAACTGTTGGTGGTGCGGCCAAGCAGCTCCCTGTCAATCTTATCGAGCAAAGGGTCGTGGGGGCTGAACTTGCGGGCGAAGGGGGCCCCGCTGGCGATCATGTTGGTGGTGTCGTTGATATTGAGGGTGCGCGGGTGTTGGCGCGGGGGGTTGTCCCATGAGATGAAGTGCATGTCGTGGTTGATGGCGGTGGGCACGAACTGCGGGGCATTGCAGATGACGGTCTGGAAGTAACCTTCGGGGGACGAGACAAAGTTGGTGTAGTACATGAGGAGTGTTCTTGGAAGATTTTCCCAGCCCCAGATGCAATACTCCACGAATGCGCGTGACTGCACCATCCAAGCCGAACCTGCATGCGGGTGCAGGGTCAAAAAATGGGGTGCAAAGCCAAATTCTCTTTTTACTTGCTACGTAGTACATAATATATATGTGTACTGACCAGTAAAGAGTCTAAAGGATGTAGGTAAGCCTCTATTTGGTTGCACCCAGAATAAGTCTGATTTGGTATTCTTGTACAACCCTGGATCTATCATCAACGGCGTCCCCCTTCCTACTCTGCAATATAATCACCACACACAAATTTACTGATCATGTTCGACCAATTGCCCGCCCCGCCTTACAAATTAGCTACCATTCATTAATCAAACATGATATGCTAGCTTACGCTTTCCACCCCAGGTCACTTGTGTGCTCTATGAAGTTGTAATCTCTCTTTACATCCGAAAACACATCCAGCAGATCTGCATGATTGCCACCACATCATATTAAAAAATACTTGTATAACCAAATCTAAACAATGGATGTTACCTACCTTAGCTTAACTATTACCAGCAGGTTACCAAATCTAAAAATGGCATCAACAATTTAGCGCACAGTATTAAATTACAAGAGTCATAAGGCTAAGCAAATAAAACAGGGACAAAAAGCTAGCTAGCTAACCATCTTGAGTGACAAGGGGATAATCTGAAGCACTGAGATTGATAAACCAATCCCAATCCTTGAATCTCTTGAGAAGGACAGCACTGGCATGGAGGGTATTACTGACCATGGTTGGCCCTCTATAAGTCACCATATTAGCTTTAGTAATCATATGCACGTTCCCAACCTCCACAAAAACGCCCTCCTTCTCCACCCTCGAGGCGAGCTCCAACCTCTCCTCCACCGACGATTCCAAGTCCAGGTGGATGATATAGTAATTCCTGGGATGGTACAACGTATGTAACACCCTCCACAGCTTCTCCAGATCCCCCTTGGAAGCCGATATCAAGTACGCAAAACGCGGGATCCCCGCGCCCGAACCTCCTGCTTGCTCCTTCCCATTATCCCGCGCCCTTGGCCCGCCGCTGCTGCCTGCAGCAGAGGATGTCGATACGCGGGACGGGAAGATTGAGAATATCGTGTTAGTTTTGTGGTTTGAAGAAAGCATTCCCATGTTGAACAAGTTTATTACAACAATCAAACCAATGATTGAGCTGATGGCTAGTGGCAACACCCATTTCTTCTCCACATTCAGGCTTCCCATCGGATCCGAGACCCTTATCATCATGCCTAGCTAGCTAGCTAGCTCGATCTTGATTAATGTATATAACTACCTACCTCCAAACACGTATATAAGCTAAGCCTCCGGTCTTGATGAAATATTTAAGTACGTATATATATATAATGGGAGCTACAAACCAAATAAACCAATGAAACATCTATTAATTACCTTTTAATGTGAGCTACAATGTTAGTTAGTTATATGTGGAGATGAAATGGTATATATACATGTATGTATTGCCTACCGTAGAGAAGTTTTAGCAAGTTGAGTAGTCATGCATGCATTTTTCCATCCCATGTGTTTTATTTGTATACTCCGAAGAATCTAATCCATACATACATTGATAATTAATTACACAAGTATGGGACATTATTGGCCTCAATTTACCCTTTTCCAAAACTGGCCGGCTATTCTTCACCTATATATGCTAGCAGGGCCGTGGTACCATTCCTATTTTCTTTTCATGATAAATTTTGATTCTTCCTCCACGCATAAGCAGACCAAACCTCCACGCTTTATACTTGCCCGGGCCCACAATAGCTATAGGAGTTTCTATTGACCCGATGGACGGATCCAGGATTTTAAACCAAGGGAGGAAAATCATTAGATTACAAAATGCACCATATCTTGCTACAATGCATGTTTAGATTACAAAGTGTACCATATTTCACAAATTAAGAGCTACCATATTACATGACAAAGAGGCATTCTACACTGGACTCGATCTTTTTAAAGATCAAAGTCGTCAATGAGAGAATCTATGGAGAATCCTTGAGCTAACTCTTTCTATATACTCCTTCCGATCCTAAATAAACCTCACACTTTCATTTTTGGGTAGGTAAAAAATTAACTTCACGCTTCTATTTTTGACAAATGTTTTTATACTTCCTCCGTTCTTTAAAAGTTGCAACATTAGGATTTTTGCACTATTCAAATACTTTACTTTGACTACAATTTTCTAATAGTATATATAATCAAATTATTATGTATAAAATGTTATTAAATTTCTACTAATGTAAATTTCCAAAATATTAACTTTTTTTAATGTTTACTAATACGTAATTAAATAGAACTACAATCAAAGTTATGCGTTGACAAACGTGAAAGTCAAACTGTTGCAACTTTTAAAGAACGGAGGATAGTATAAAGTTACTCTTATACCCTTATTTTATTATCTACTTTACACCTACTTTCTCTCTCTCACTACACTTTATCTACTTTTTGTAGGGGTATGCTGGGAAAGTCAAAAACAAAAATTTCACTTTCTTAAAAACCGTAAAATCAAACTATGAAGTTTATTTATCACTATAGAGAGTATATGTCACCATGTAGCTTGAAAGAAAATTGCAGTCCTTTTTGTTCCGAAGGCATGTCTTCATAATTTTCATGGCAAAAAATGATCACTCTATTATTGCAGTTGATATTGGACGAGTCAGTAGAAGGCGACGTATTCTATCAACAAGAGGATCAGTTATTCACTTTCGAGTCTTCGTCATTACTGCACACAAGTCCACAAGTGTTGATGCTTTCTTCAACTCTAGATTTTGTTTAGCATTATATTTGAAATGCCTTAGCCGAATCCTCAAGTGTTCCTTTCCATTGTAGAAAGTTATCACGATAAAATTTGTTCACAAGTTTGCATTTGTACTCAACTTGAAAAGACTTATAATCTTCATGGGTGACTTGGTTGCACAGAGCATATCCCCTCTCATACCTTCAAATAAATACACCTGGAAATTCTATTGCACAATTCTCACCCAGGGATAGAACAAAAGTAAGACCTTCCCAAAATGAAACAATTTTATAAAATGAAATTCATTAGTGTAATTAATAGTTCAATTGGCTCTCATTTGGAAGTACACCTCATTATGTACCATTTTATTATCCTTTTGCACCTTGGTTGTTGCTCAAAGTGAAATCTATAGAATTAAAATGAAAGCAAAAGAACCGGAAGAGTTCTTGTGTTTTTGTGGTGCATTTATAAATCTTTTGTGTTTGTGGTGCATTTATAAATCTTTTGTGCATATTGTGTGTGTCGTCAAACATCCCTGTGTTGTTCCAGCCACAGCAGTTGTGAAGCCGGCATGCTTGAAAGGATGCATGGAGATTGGAGGGGGCTCATTTGAGGAGGTTGTTCCTGATAAATATAAGGCTGTTTTTACTTGGACTGATTCACTGATCTGGTCGTCTAATAAATATTTTATCTCTGTGTATTTCATAATTGTCCAAGTCTGGTCTGGGACTAATAATAATCCGAGTAAAAACATCCTAACAACATATTATGATTGTATTATTATACGGGCAAATTGGATATTAAAAATAATTTTATTTATAAATATTTATTTATAAGAATTTCCCTTAGGTCTGGGTCCATGTAGTAGCTGGCAGGTGGAACCGTGGAACCTACAAATCAGCTATACACGCATGTACAAGCCTCTGTATCGCAGCTGTGATGTACAAAATGAATGGTTGTTGGTCTGATACCTAATTGTTTTGCCGGACACAGGCACACATCTCAGACAGTTGAAATGTTGAATCTTCCAAAACTATGCAACTAAAGTCTAAAAGGGTTGCATTTGTTGAACAGTCGTGAAAAAAAAATCAAATATATTTCATTAACATTAAAATATGGATAAAAACATAAAACTGCAACTTCAAAAACATTAAAAACAATAAACATATACTCCGTATCACGTATGTTATACAAATTTTGCACATGCGGGAAAAAAAGTATGGTGTTTGGTGAAAACACTCGTTAACATACAATCACTAAGCAAATTTGCAGATGTTTTTGCCATTATAAATGGCACAAAGGGATACAGCTGCCATGGTTTCAAGATCAGCAAGTCAATAGACATTACTCACGAAGAATCAAAAGCGATTAATGAGAGGTGATAGTAAAATTTTAAGATGTAGCCATGTGAGCTTACACAAGGGTAACCACCACCTTTTCAGAGAAATTCAACTATAAGGATATCCCTAGTTCTGTTGGCCAAGAGGAAAGCCATCAACTTCGAAAAGAACGAAATAAAAAAAGAGCTGGTGACAATAACAGCCTGCTTTACCGACCTCCTCCTCTCTCTCTGAACTCGGCTTCCCTTTCTGCTTTAAGTTTTTCTGCAATTCTCAGGATGGTAGGGTTGTTGAAACGGTCACATACAAATGGCCTTTCTTCTTCTTGTATCTCCTTGTAAGCTTTAGGATAGGGGTTGGGAGGTGGTTCCTTCCCTTGAAGGCGTGCTATTTTCTTCAATCGAGCATATGCCTTCTTTTTTGCCCTTTTCTCTGTTTGGTACTCCACCTAACAAAAAATTGAGCAGCGTGCACACATGAGTTTAATCTGGGCAACTATCAAATAATGGTAGAAGGATATAATAAAGTAACACAAGAAAGACCATCATACATCAGCAACAGTTATAGCATCACATTCATCAACTCCTTGTTCCTTCAACTCAACCACTCGACATCCAAACAAACGTGCTGGAGGTGGGTCGCATCCACGAAAGCTATTAAGTATTTAAGATATCAAAAACGATTAAAGTGTATGTGTATGTGTATCCGTATATGTATATGCATATGCAGATAACTAATCTTGTGTGGACCGCCTGACGGGAAATCCCGTCCGACCAAGGCCATTTAGGGTCCTTCCCGGTAGAATTTTTTTATGAAACTTTTTAAGCATGTTCTTCATCAAGTCTAGTTTATTCCCACCATATTTCAGCTAAAAATTCAATCGGGAAGGCAGTTAAATAAATTATTTAAGAACACTGCGCTTTATATATATAACCAGTGCAGTCAAGGTAGTCAAAGTCGAGCGCCTGGGCGCTTAAGCGCACCAGGCGCAGCGCACAGAAGCCTCAGCGCTTGAAGAACGATCAGGCGCACCCCCCAGCCTAAGGCGCAGCTTAGGCGCAAAAGCGCTGAAGCGCAACTGCAATAAAAAGCGCTCGCTGTTTGCGCTTGATAGGGGAACACGTTTTTTTTAAGTTTAATAAGAAGCCCATATTTTTAATAAAGCCCGTCTAAATAAGATCAAAACAAAATATACCTACGCTAAACAACACACCTACGCTAAACAACACACCTGTCAAAATATACCTATTCGCTCCTCCTGTCCTCACACATCAACTGCAGAAGTTGGCAGCAGTAAGCTTTCTTCTCCATCGTTCTATTTTCTTTCTTTTTTCTTTTTTCTTTTTTCAGTATCTACTCCTTCTTATATACTCTATACAACTCAAAAGTATATATGTAAACTACCAGTATAATGGTCTGTCATGTGCAACAACACTCTTCATTGTGCCATTTTCTTTGTTCTTTACTTTTTCAGCATCTTTCTTATATAGTTTATACTCTATTACTCTAGATACCTAAAATCTAATTATGTTTTATTTTTCAGTTTGAAAGTTTAAGACTTTAAGTTATGAATTCTGAATTTGGTTGTTTTACTTTTGTGAATCATGAAATTTTTTGGTTAATCATGACTTTATTTTGGTGAAACATGACTCTTTTTGTGAGAAACCTGACTTTTTTATGTAGTTAGTTCAATATGGTGTTATATACATCATGTTTTATTATTGAAGAAGAGTATATGTGATACTTTCTAAGCAATGCGCCTGAAAAAAGGAAGAAGGAAGAAGGAAGAAGAAGGGAGAAGCAGAGGAAGAAGGGAGAAGAGTATATGGGAATACCCTATCGCCTTGAACGCGCCTCACGACTTTGACTACCTTGAGTGCAGTGTTTTTCAATTACACGTTTGACTGACTTCCCGATTGAATTTTTATCTGAAATTTGGCGCGCTAAATGAGACTTAATGAAGAACATGCTAAAGAAATCATCAAAAAATCCACCGGGAAGGGCTCCAAAATGGCCTCGACTGGACAGCAGTTCCTGTCGGGCCGGCTTGACATGAACGCTACTCTTTGGTCAATCAAAACTAGTGCAGCAATGCAGCCATAGTAAGCTGCCATATGTAAGGGATTGGAAAAACTACAACTTTCTGTGGGGCTTAAATAAAGTAGCATACAGTAAATATTTCATTTCATATATATAATCCACTTTTTCTCTTTTATTGCTTAATACCTATGAAACAAGGACACCCAAAACAAGGGAGGAATAACTTGTTACAGACATGTTTCCTTTTTAGAAACTACGTGTAGAAACCTTCTTAGAATGTTTTATACCATTTGCTTAGTCTTAACCATGGCGAAAGGATCTCCATCACATCATAGAGTTCCACGCAGAAATGCAAAATTTTGGTTTATGTAGAGTATATACTAAAATGCATATTGAAATGTCATCTCAAGGTGTTCTACCTAGTTAGGATAACAAACTATGTTAACACATCGGAATTGATCCTTAAAAAGTAAGGGTTGACAGCATACTCAATTGCGTCTTCTGATATAGCATAAGGATTTTTCTGAAAGAACTTCTTGACATAAGCATCCTCAGGAAGGGTAATTGGCTTAATTTTATTCTCTGCTCGAGGAAAGGTAGCTGGTGGTGCACTGCAAGGTTAGATTACTTAGAACAGTCTACAAAAATTATCCAAATTTTACATGTACTTATCAGATAGGATTATCTGAAAAACATCATTCATTATAATCACTAAAACTTGAGGCATTGGAAGCACACAAAAATATTTTTGTGAAGCTCAAACTGCATAAAAAGATAAATAATTTGGAGAAATACATAAGAGTGCATACTTTTCCATAGCTTTGAACCACACAGGTTCGGCTTTAGCGAATCCTTTGACGAGTTTTCGGGTTCTCCTTAGCAGATCGCCTTTCATGAATGACATCTACATCAGAAATCATAGAAGGTTTAATAAAATGGCGTGAGGCACGAGGATGGGTTGAAGGAGTAGGTTAGATAAATCGCCCTTCCTCGCTCTTTCCATGTTCCAGTTCGCCCCATTTAGCTCCATAACACAAAAAGTAGAGTTCCCCATAGATCATAATAAAAATAGAACAGAGGAAGAGAATGAAAGAAGATGAAACTAAACACAAGATGTTTGTTCAGAGAGAAAAACGATATGAAAGTAAAGATAAAGGGATGGAAAAATCAACCTTTGCATAACATGGAGGAAGAGAAGCACTTGCGCAGATTCACTTGCTCAGATTCAGAGGACGGATGAAGCACCACATTTGGCGCAAGGATTAAAACTAAGGTAGGGGTGCGGACTGCGGATTTGGCATGGGCCTGTTCTTAGATGCATGATTTTTTTTGACAGTCCAAATTTTGTTTCACCTTTTTATTAAGGGAAATCACTATTAGAGCATCTCCAATGCTACGATGTGCACGGTGCACATGTGGCATGAGAGAGATAGATATAAAAAAATTGAATTTACGACATTTCTCTCTCATTCTTTCCACGGTTTTATGTGTTTTTGGTAAGTTTTTCTCTGCAATGTCAAGCACAATGTCTACATCTAGACATTGTGCTTGACATTGTAAAGAAAAACTTACCAAAATGATACAAGATCCTTCAAATAAGGAGAGAGATATTCTATTTATTATTTTTTAATTGGCTATCTCCAATGCCACGTATGCACCGTCCACGTTTTAGCATTGGAGATGCTCTTAGCCTCCTGAGTTTTTATTATTTTCATTGTTTGCCTCCCTTCCTTACGTTAATATTTGTTAAATTAAATTTAATATAAATCTTAAATTTAATGAAAGTTGTCTACAAAATTAAATTTTAACGTAAGATAAAATTTAATATCATAAATATAAGTCATTGTTGTTGGTCGTTATTTTTTTTTTACTTATCTACTCGATCATGGAATAAATATTAATGAATGTAGTCAAGAGGGAAGACTCACGAGTAAGATATAAAATATCATGATTTTTTTAATTAAAAAAAAAATAAATACTAGCATCACTTAATCTTATTAAACTAATAATTTTTTTGCGAAGAAAAAATCATAAAAAAATAGTAATAGAATTAATAAAAAAAATCAAAATCTATTATATATATTTTAGGTCTTAGATATATTGATAGCTTACAATTATTCCGACCATATATTGAACATTCTACTTTTAGGTTCGTAATTAATACTAGACCAATCTTTTAGGTCATGTATTAATAAAATTCCTTTTTTTCCTTGGTATTTCTTCTTTGCTAAACACGAAAGAAATGTCATTGAAATTAATTCAACTGGATGAATTACAATTTACAAATAAGACTTTTATATTCATGATGAAGAGGTGTCTAGAATTTGGATCACAAGATTTCAAACAACTGTCTTTTATATCTCATGAAAATTATGCAACTCGTGAGTCATCTACCTTAACTACTTTCATTAATATTTATTCCACGATCGAGAAGCTAAGTAAAAAATAACAATCAAGAACAATGATTTATAATAATGATAATAAAATTGTATTTTACTTTAAAATTTAAT